GCAGTAGTGATATCAGGATGCTATGGCAATTGTAACGAGGTATAGCAATCCTGATTTATTCATAACCATGACATGCAACCCCAAATGGACAGATATTGCAAACAATTTACAATGCTGGCAAAAAGTTGCAAACAGACCTGACTTGGTAGCCAGAGTTTTTAATATTAAGCTGAATGCTCTTTTAAATGATATATGTAAATTCCATTTCTTTGGCAAAGTAATAGCTAAAATTCATGTCATTGAATTTCAAAAATGCAGACTGCCTCAGGCTCACATAATATTGATATTAGATAGTGAGTCCAAATTACGTTCCTCTAATTAATTCCCTTTCAATGCGCACGAATTTCGTGCACCGGGCTACTAGTCTAATCTAATAAAAGATAAACATGCAAATTGACCATACCTTCGCTATACCTTAAGCCACGCCCACCAGCCAATCAGAGCGACTATATGAAAAATAACCCAACCAAGATGGCAGCCGGCAGCCACAGAGCTGGAGCGAGCATGAGGCTTGGTTGCTACAGTGATGAAGGAAGCCAAGCTTCCCTCCCGCCCGTCCTGGCTGGCTCTGAGCTCCACTAAAGGCAACAAACTTTCAATTATAGAAGGTAAATAACTCCCAGAACCAAAAAATGAGAAAATAAGGAGAGGCTGGGAGCTTCCATCGCCGGGGTGCTTGGCCAGCCTGAAAACAGCCCTCAGCCCCTCACCCAGACTGGCCAGGCTCCCTAGTGAGGACCCACCACCCTAAAGGGGGTGCGGCCAGCCTGAACACAGCCATAGCCCCTCACCCAGGTTAGCCAAACCTCCATGGGGTGAGGGTCCCCACTGGGGGGGGGCTTGACCAGCTGGCAAACAGCCATCAGCTCCTCACCCAAGCTGGCCAGGCACCCCAGTGGGGACCCCCTCCCTGAAGGGGGTGTGACCAGCTGCAAACAGCCATCAGCCCCTCACCCAGGCTGGCCAGGCACCCCAGCGGGACCCCCACCCTGATCCAGGACATCCTTCAGGGCAAACCATCTGCCTCCCACCCGAGCACCAGGCCTCTGTCCTATGTAATAGAAGGGTAATATGCAAACTGACCCTAACAGCAGAAGGACTGGGAATGACTGGTCACTATTACACACACTGACCACCAGGGGGCAGACACTCAATGCAGGAGCTGCCCCTGGTGGTCAGTGTGCTCCCACAGGGGAAGCTCTGCTCAGCCACAAGCCAGGCTGACAGCTGCCAGAACAGCGGTGGTGGTGGGAGCCTCTCCCGCCTCCTCAGCAGCACTAAGCATGTCAGACTGCAGTTTAGGTCTGCTCCCCGCTGGCAAGTGGACATCCCCTGAGGGCTCCCGAGCTGCCAGAGGGATGTCTGATTGCCAGCTTAGGCCCAATCCCCCCCAGGGAGCGGGCCTAAGCCAGCAGGCGGTCATCCCCTGAGGGGTCCCAGACTGCGAGAGGGCACAGGACAGGCTGAGGGACCCCCACCACGCACACAAATTTTTGTGTACCGGGCCTCTAGTATATATATAAAAGGCTTAAGTTCCCATCTGACCGGTAGCTATGACAAGCACTGACCATCAGGGGGAAGATGCTCAATGCATAAACTGACCGGCTGCAGTGACTTGGCAGTGGTGGTTCTTGGGTGATGCACCCTGGAACCAGAAAGGAGGGAGCCCAATTCCTCATGGGGCCAGGCAATTCCACCTTCAACCATGGGTTATGTTGCTGCTGGGGCACTGCCAGCCCCGAATCTGGTTTACTGCACACTTGCGTTTGTGTTCCACATCCTGTACAACAGCAACTTTGCAGAGTGCCCTCTCACACTCGGGGACCCCTTGGTGGATGTTGGAGAGCCAGTTTCGGCCAGATCCCTGCAGGCCAGACTGAGGGACCCCACCTGGCACAGGGACCCACTCACTCCACAAAAGCCCTTTGAGCCACAGCACCACCTCTGGTGTGGCCGGCCGGGGAGGGACGGCGAGAGGTTGGCTCCAGGGTGTGCCTGGCCTGTCTCACCCAGTCCCGCCCTGTGGCCAACTTCTAATTAATTTCCTTTCAATGTGCACGAATCCATGCACTGGGTCACTAGTTATTATATAAAATTAAATACATCACGATCAAATAAGATTTATCACAGGCAAGTAGGAATGATTCAATATCAGAATTTCTATTGATGTTTTAAATCATATTAAAAATGTACAAAAGAACAATCACTTGAAACTTTGCAAAAGATATAAAAATGGCTATTAATTAGCATTCAATACTTATTTATGATATAAATGTCTAAGAAAGCGGGACAGAAACAAAACTTTGTTCCTCAAACTGAAAACAATATCTACAAAAATTGATTATGAAATTTCAGAGACTTCCCATTTAGGTCAGGAACAAGAAAAGGATGCTCACTATCTCTGCTACATTCAACATCACATTGGAAGTTCAGCCAACAAGAAAAACATAAGTATACAAAATAGAAATGAAAAAAACTCCCTCATTCCTCAAAAACCTGTCCTTATTTGTAGATGAGATAAACATCCAAGTAGGAAATCCAAAAGAACTTCCAACCTTTCAGAGCTAACAGTCATGCTCAGCAGAAAGGATGGACATGGGATACAGGAAAAGCTAGGAGTGCCCCTATGCACCATAATGGGGCAGAACAACTGAAAAGTGACCCGATGCTAAAGTGACTTCCTGTGCAAGTACGCAATGGGGGAGGGGATGGGGTGGAATTAGACGTATAACCATGTGCTAAGTAAAGAGTTTTTAAAATGTTACATACTTCTTGCCTGCTGAAAGAGCCTAGAGAAAACGACAATAAACAGCTAATGCCTATATCTTGGTTTCTAAATGATGAAAGGAACCAGGCTCCTTGGAGAAATGGTGGACTCCAAGATGCTGACAAAGTTCAGGAGGGGCTTGATAATCTTATGGTGGTGGGAAGGGCTGGAATGACCAGGCCATGGCAAAACCACAGGAACTAGTCTGAAGGGGCATCTATGGACCAACCCAGAGAGAATTTGAACATCAAAATGGATGATACTGAGAATGTAGTAATGAACAAAACCAAGTCTATGAGCCTATGCTGTTTCTAAAAAAAAAAAAAAAAAAAAAACAAAAAAATACACAAAATGAATAAATGGGAGAAAATATCTTTATATGAAAATGTCAACTGATAAATGTGAAACAATAGTTAGAAAAAGTCACTATTTTACAACCAACATATTTCAACAAACCTCAACTGATTTAGCCAGGAATCATCGGTAAACAAACTATTGCGTGAAAGTTTATTGGGGGAAAGGATATTTATAGCCTCAAAGTATTTCCACACAGATTACTTAATTAAAAGAAAAACATCCCTTTACAGTAGGAAAATCTGGCAAACATCACATCTTCACTAAATAACTAATGTTGACCTAACTAATAATGAGACAAAAAAATAGCATGAGCTCTCTAATGTAATAGTAGTGATAAGAGCACATCAACCAAGTGGTATTCACTCCAAAAATGCATAGCTTGAATCTAACTATGAGAAAACAATCTGATAAGCCCAAACTGAGTATTCTACAAAAACTGGTCTACCCATATCCTTAAAAAATGTCAATGTATGAAAGAGGATAGAAGGCTAAAAAATTGTTTCAGGGATAACTATACTTTCAAGATTAAGTAAGAATGCCTTTGTTCTTCAGCGATGAAAATGGAAATATTTAGAGTCATAATACTGCAACCTTTACTCTTAAAATAAATTATACAGAGAAACACACAAAACAAAACAAAGGATCCTAAGAGATCAGCCATCAAAAGGAGAATGGCTGAATACAGACATTTTCCTAAAACTAACAGAGAAATAATACAATGTATTATTTTCAGGGAGAAAACCTATATAAATAAAAGGCTAGCCCAGCCGGTGTAGCTCAGCGGTTGAGCATCGACCCAGGAACCAAGAGGTCACCAGTTCGATTCCTAAAAGGGTAATATGCTAAGTATCTGACTGTTGGACTGGTACCTATGATGTGCACTGACCACCATGGAGCAGATACTCAATGCACAGGCATGGAAACATGGAGCAGGCTGATGAATCTAAGACGGAAGGGAGGAGGGCGGGAAGAGATTAACCAAAGATCTTCTATGCATACTAGAGGCCCAGTGCACATATTTGTGCACTGGTGGGGCTCCTCGGCCTGGCCTGCGGGGATTGCGTCGAAACCGGCAGTCCCACATCCCCTGAAGGGTCCCAGATTGTGAGAGGGCACAGGCCAGGCCGAGGGACCCCACTGGTGCATGAATCCGTGCACCAGACCTCTAGTTTAAAAATAAGAGTAAGTACATGCATGCCATATTTGTGGGACATTTTATAATATTGAAAAATCAAAACAATGAAAGACACACTGAGGCAGTATAACTGGCACGTTGCCGCCTACCTATTGTCACTGCGAGTCTCCATGGCTACAGGATTTGGAGAGGCCCGATGTCCTGAGATGGGAATCAGGCTGCTCCTCTCCGTGGGGTAATCAGGCTGGATCCTAGGAGAAGTGTGTGTGATCTGCTGAGGCACCACCTTAGCTACAAAAAGGAAAACCAATGACATCACTGTTCATATGCTTTCACTGTTAAGACAAATCATTCTTGCACAACAATCTTAATGCAAATAGTAATAAGAAGTCTGGATTTTAGTTTTAATCAAAATAAAAAAGAAAGAAGAGTACACAAGTTTCAACTAAAGTAGTTCAATCTAATCTATAATAATAAAAGCGTAATATGCTTATTAGACCAGATAGCTGAACAACCTTCCAAACATCATTCCGGACATCCTTCCAGACAAAGCTGCGGCGGCAGGGGCCGAGGCAGAGGCAGTTAGGGGCGATGAGGCAGGCAGGCAGGCCAGCAGCCCTGGATTGTGAGAGGGATGTCTGACTGCATCCCCCGAGGGGTCCCAGATTGCGAGAGGGTGCAGGCCGGGCTGAGGGACCCTGCCCCTGTGCACAAATTTTGGCAATTTAGATGAGATAAATATATTATCTCATCTAAGCCTAAGCGACCATTAAAACCAGATGGTCGCTATGATGCACACTGACCACCAGAGGGCAGATGTCAATGCAGGAGCTGCCCCCTGGTGGTCAGTGTGCTCCCACAGCCAACCTCCCACAGCCAGCCAACCTCCTGTGACCCCTCCCCCTGGCTGGCTGGCCCCGATCAGGACTGGGCGAAATGGCCCCGATCGCTGTCCAGGCAGAAGGGTCCCACCCGTGCACGAATTCATGCAACAGGCCTCTAGTCCACTAATATAATATATTCACACTGTCAAAGAAGGGTTCAGCATTATTCCTTTAACAAAAATATCAGCAACTAGGCCCCATTCCCCTGACCTGGCTTCTTTGATATCCTTTTTTTGAGGAGAACTTTTTATTTAAAAAATCAAACAAACCATAAAAAAATGAAAATATAGCTATAGAAATGACAAAGACCTTAGATTCTACTCCATAAGTAATTGGGTCCATAAGGAAGTAGCAATGTGGCTAATTAGTACTGAGTAGATAATTTTAATTTCTAAGTCCCAGCTTCCTCATCTCTTAGGCTTTCTCTAGATAACCATTTAATTTTGAATATCCTATGACTTTAAAACCTTACAGCAAAGTCAAAATAAACAACAGAGTTTTCAAATTTAATGTCAGGCTCAAAATTTGCTTTCCTCTACAATTTACAATCAAATTTTGTTCCGAAGGCATAGCTGAACTGGGACATACTTTATGGTTCTTAAGAGACCTATCTGTTAACTCTATGCCTTGAAATTTGCAAATAAAAGCTGTACCTCAGAGATATAGAGCAGGGGTGGGGAACCTTTTCTCTGCCAAGGGTCATTTGGATAGTTATAACATCATTCTCAGGCCATACAAAATTATTAACTTAAAAATCAGCCTGCTAGACTGGCTGGTGCGGCTCAGGGGTTGAGCATTGACCTATGAACCAGGAGGTCACAATTTGATCCCCAGTGTGTGGGGTGTACAGGAGGCAGTTGATCAATAATTTATCTCTATCTCCCATTCCCTTCTTCTCTGAAATCAATAAAAACATATTTAAAAAATTAGTCTGCTATATTTGGTCAAACATAAACTCACCCCTAATGCTTTGGTAGGGCCAGACCAAATGATTTCTCAGGCCTTATTTGGTCCACGGGCGGGACGCTCCCTACCCGCTATAGAGGGACAAAGGTTCCATCTGTGTAAAGACGCAAGTTACACCAGTGACAGGCACATAACCACTAGAGACTAGATGCCCCACACTACCCACAGTGCAATGCATCGAACACCAAAGGTAAGCAGCACAAATCACCATTGATGCCCAGCCGTTTCCTGAGGCAGACAGCCGGAGAAGTTTCTGCAGGATGCCCTGGGTGCCCAATTGGAGCACTGATGATGGCATCTGCTGGCTAAGGCAGAGAGGCACTGTAACGGCACATTCTCCATCAGTCGGAGATAGAGTATTGAGTGGAAAGCAACGAAGCCTTGTTTTTCACTCTTCCCATGAAAGGCAGGAAAAATAATACTTCCAAAGAATGCAGTTATCATTTGTAGGATAACTAAACAGTGGTTCATAAACGTAAACACATCCCAAATTTTAAATCTTTACTTTTTTCTAATTAAAAAAAGCCATATTCTCTATTATTAAAAATAAATAAAATTTAAGGAAAAATATAATGCAGAAATCATAACTTGGCCATACTGCTACCTCCAAAGATAAATTCGTTTTCTGAATGCTGTGACTGACTCTGCTTTGTATATTCTAAGACACTGGCATGTGTGGGCCAGAGAAGGAGAAAACCAGTATGGTCATCTACTGAGGATAAGCATTCATTAGAGGAGAAAACCCTATGTTCATTGTTAATCATTTTTATTCCTGACCCAATATATTCTTATTAGAAACAATGGCTGAATTCAATATTTAATCTCACCTGGAAAAAACCACTTAGGTCATTTAATATATCCCCTAGACCTAAACTTGAAGATCAATGCTCTAGGTTTAATGTCAAGTTTTCCTTCTCAACCTTTGTACAGGGATCCTATTATGATATAACAAAAAAGTATTTGGGTTACTATAAAAGAGGAAAACAAAACTAGAGCATAAACCCAATTGAACTTAGATGAAACCAATCACATTAAGGTGGCAGATGTTAAATGTTCTGGTATTTCTGTCAAATGATTTTCATATCTAGAATTCAGTAAATGGTTAAAATTAAAAAATAAATGAGCTTGGTAGATATAGAATATAGTAATATAGTAACTTAGGACAGGTATAAAGTTGCTAGTTTTAGCAAAAATGTATCATAGTTCTGTCTCCTGGTACTTTTACTTAAAATTTTTATTTATTGATTTGAGAGTGTGTGGGAAGGAAGGAAGAAGAGAGAAAGGGTGGAAGGGAGATAGAGAAAAAGAGAGAGAAACATCAATTTTGTTGTTCCACTTACTCGTGCATTCATCGGTTGGTTCTTGTATATGCTATGACCAGGGATCGAACCCGCAACCTTGGTGTATTGGGACAATGCTCTAACCAATGAGAGACCAGACCATCTCCTGGTACATTTATGAGGTGACTTCCACTGTGATTTCTTAGGAAGATACAGTGACATGAATAAGAACTAATCTCAAAATAATTTTTCAGAGGGATCAAGAGAAAACCAAAGCGCCCCTATAAGATACACTGCCCCCTCTTTACTGGTCTGATTTTCTTCACAGCTGTGGATTCCCTCGTGAGACTCTGGACTGAAAACATGAAAAGAATGGGCTGGGCTCTGAAGTTCCAGCTGAGGATAACTGCCGACAATGGCAAGTATAGCCAGACACTGGTTTGACACGAAAATATGGAATTATCAATGATCTTTCCAATAACAGCGCATTACTGCTGAAACCAGACACATGTAACAAACTTCTTTTCACAGAAGAGAAGTGAACTCCAGAGGGACATGAGAGAAGTGTGGTGGCAGGCTGGAGTGAGCAGTGATAGGAGAAAGAGCCAGCAGCAGCGTCCTCTCGGTTACCAGTCTTGGGAGGTGGGGGGGTGCTTAGTACCAATTTAGGGCAGGCACAGCCCAGTTACCTGAAAGAGGAGTAAGGGTTTCCTGGGTTACCATTATTCTGAAAAGTATCCTCAAAGTTTGGTAGGAGGACCGTGCAGCTGCAGTCTGTCTCGCATGTGCAAAGAGCAAGCAGGGAGAAGAGCAGCCAGGTTATTATATGTATGGGTGGGCAGCCACATCTCTGGTCTGGCCACTAGACCCTGAGGCCCCACGGCTCAGCATGTGAGCATGCCATCTGATAGAACACAGTCTGACTTTGGGGGGGAAGGACAGGCGGGGGGGGACGGGATGGCATGCTCATCATGCTGGCCGGAGGTGAAGCTAACGCTAGAGCTAAAACCTGCAGCCAGAGGACTAGCGAGAGCAGCCTCACAGGCCACAGTCTGTCTGGGAGCCTGTGAGAGTGAGAGCAGCTCCTAGGATAGAGGCTGGCAACCTGCAGCCCGAGAGCCAAATGCTGCCTGCTGCCCGCTTCCGTGAGGCCTGCGCTAAGCAAGGCCTACGAATTGAAGTGGCTAAGGGAGAAGCATTTTGTGACACTTAAAAATTATATGAAATGCAAATGTCCACGTCCAGAAAGCCCCTGTGCACACTGGCCACCAGCGAGCAGCTGGGGCAGAGACATAGGAGGCCTGCACCGCCTGCATCTACTCTCTGGCCCTGCTATTCAGGACGTTGGCCAGGCCCTGCCAGAAACCTTTCAGAGATGTTTAAAATATTCAAAGTATACAGTATTTAAAAGGGGGAATAATGAAGCCTAGAAGAAACTTTAAGACAGTTATCAAGTGTTTTGAGGCAGCACTTCAACGAAAGCCTACGTTTAGCTGTCTTCCCACTACTGTCACCCAGAGATTTCTCCTGAACAACCCATCAGTTCTCCTCATTTCAGATCTCTGCTTCTTGCTGGCTTTTCCTGTTGCTTTCATGCTAGTAAATTTATTTCTTTAAAAGGTACACATAAAAAGAGTAGTTTGATGCACAAGAAAGTTAAAAGTAGAGTTAGTTTACTTTGAGCTCTCAAAGATTATTATTCCTTTCTCCCTACCGTCATGCCAAATCTGTACAACAAATAATATTAAAAGTTAAATTCACTGCTACTTTGAAAATCAACAACTAAAAGAAAAATCAATACTATCCATCCATAAGAAGAGTTGGTCAGAGGGGCTGAAAAATCCCTTTGAAACTCCTGTCTGAAGGGTGTATCACACTTACCAACTGGGATGTTTGAGGTGGTCACAGCAGTAGCATGGGATGAATGGGAGGGCACTGTCATGGTAACAATTGTACTCGTGGGGGCTTGTGTGTGTGACACAGATCCTAAAAAGGGAGAAAAAAGGAAAATTCTTCAACATTTGCCCCTCTGAACATTATAGATTCTCAAAAACCTGAGACAAGCTCTTGGGAAAAGTTAATTTTCATAGCCTACTCTTTCAGCGAGGAGGGAAAATGAACCGGGCAGAAAGCAAGAGCAGGGCTGCTGACTCACCGGCTGTGGTCGCTGAAGAGATTGTGTTGGTCGCCAAAATAGGTGCCACTGTCGCCGCAGCTACTGGGGTGCCCGTGCTGAAGATTGTTTTCTGTGGGGAGACCCAGAACAGAGAGTCACAGACAAGCATCTGCCACTCCATCTAGTTCAGAAGCAACCACTGCCTTCAGTATTGCATGTGCTTCGCGACTTTTGCAGTCCTCACTTGAACCATAGCAGAAGCACGCAGACGGTTCTCCCCGCTGGTTTACCTGAGCCATGGTGTGAAGCTGCTGCTTTGGTGTCCCTAAGGCAGGGTGCGAGGGCAGTGTGATTCTTGTTGCTGCGTCCCGTGACTGGGGGGGGCGCTGAATGCTGATGGCCGCAGATGGTGGGTGCTGGATAGACAAAGCTGGCCGACTGAAAAGACAGACAGACGTGATCTTTAACTTGTCTCCAGACACAGCTCAGGCACCGACGCCACTTACTCCCTGGTACTTACTCCCTTGAATTTTAGAGAGAGTGGAAAGGAAGGGGGAGGAAGGAAAAAGGGGGAGAGAGAAGGAGGGGGGGGCGGGAGGGAGGAAGGGAGAGAGAGAGAGAGAGAGAGAGAGACACAAACATGGACCCAAGAGACACATGGACTGTTAGCCCCCCATGTTGTGTCACGACCAGGGCTGGGGATTGAACCTGCAACCCAGGTGTGCACCCTTGACAGGGAATCAAACCCACGACCTTTTGGACGGTGGGCCAATGCTCTAACCACTCAAACACTAGCCAGGGAGAGATATATTTTTTCAGAAGTCTGTGAGGTCCATTGTCAAACCAGTAAAGTAAATGGCCCACCAAGTTTCTCTTCTGAAACTGTGAGCCCCATTTCAAAAGCAATCAACATGTAACATGACCTGAAGAAATTAAACCTAGGTCATTCTCAGCACCCTCCATATAGTTAAATCAAAGCTCTATGACAATCTCAAGGAAGCATCTATATATATAATAGGCTAATATGCTGTGTCCCTCCACCCGTCCGACCGGTTGCTATGGCACACACTGACACCAGGGGCAGACACTCAATACAGGAGCTGCCGTGACACGCACTTGCCATTTACAGAAATGGCAGTGTGGACCTGGCGCTGACAAAGCAACACTTGGTTTCCTATAAGTAGAACACAGGCCCAGCCACCACCTTGGAGTAAAACCCACCAAATCGCAGCCGATGCTGCCGAGACCCACAAATTGTGGCCCACAGTGCAGCACAGCCCGGAAACGGTCACTGTGGGCCCCACGTAGCAATGCCCGGCTTCCTCTCCCTAGCAATTAGCCACCTTGCAGTTTCTTCAGCCCAGAAACACGACTTGCTTTGTAGCCAGGTACAAACATTTCACACTTTAACCAAATATCTGTGAAGCTTTTTCTCGTGCCTCATCTCATCTGACCCTCACAGAAGTCCTGGAGTATGTAAATAGGAGACTCGGCAGAATCCTATTTTCTTTTCATTAGCTGGAAAATGGAGGTTTAGAAAGCTTAGAAACTTGACCCGACTGAAAAGAAGAAATGGTGGACCTTGAAAATGACTTCAGGTTTTCTCACTGCACAGATTATAGTCAAACATTGTTGCAGTTACATGTTTTACCCTTTGTTCTCCCTGTGTGATCTACAATAATAATCTTCTTCATGTTGATATTTACTGCTGTGCTGCTGACAATTACCTGAAAGAGAAGTTGGGGTGCTTCACTGGGCTGGAAGGAGGTTAGCTATATCAGAAGCAGGTCTAATTAAGCAAGTTCATTCTATATCTATAAAAGGCTAAGCTTGCCAAAACCGGTTTGGCTCAGTGGATAGAGCGTCGGCCTGCGGACTGAAGGGTCCCGGGTTCGATTCCAGTCAAGGGCATGTACCTGGGTTGCGGGCACATCTCCAGTGGGGAGGGTGCAGGAGGCAGCTGATCGAAGTTCCTCTCTCATCGATGTTTCTAACTCTCTATCCCTCTCCCTTCCTCTCTGTAAAAAATCAATAAAATATATTTAAAAAAAAAAAAAGAAAGAGCAGTGATACATAACATGCAAGATTATGAAGGATAAACAAGATTTATTAATTCTTTTTTGGAACTACGTCACTACTAGTAGAATCACTACAAACGTTATCACTTTCTACATCAGAGTCAGTATTCAAGGTGCCAAAATAAAACTCTTCATCGTTACTTTCAGATTTGCAGTACACTTCTTTTGGTAACTTAATTTTTGCCATTTTGGAGTATTATTTTGAAGTAACAAGCGAGAATGCCTAATTACAGTTAAACGTAATTTGTAAAACTTTATTTGAAATTCTGCGAAGTATCTCTGAAGCTTGTCGATTTCTTCACTCTCAAAAGGCAACTGACTCGCCACAGTGTTTTGCATGGAGAGTGTGGAACGACCGCGCTTGTTTATATTGAGTTTCAATATCTCTGACTTGTCGGGGCAATGTTTTGGTTCATGACAAGGTCGCTTAGACACTTAAAAGCTTTCAGAGAAATTATGAACTGATACATGAATGAATAGAGTTAAGATTCGTACGGTTCCTTGCTGTCGTGGCTGAGAGCAGACATACGACCGGAACGGTAAAAAAGCTTTGGCGGCTGAGAGTAGATGAACGACTACAAAGGGTTAAAGCTCTCGCTGGCATCAATTGCATGCACGTGTTTCCATCTGTCATTGTCAATCATGAATTTGGTTGACACTTTTATTATAGAGAAAGAGCAAATAGTGATATTAAAATAAGATGTGCAGGAGGCAGCGGGTCGATGTTTCTCTCTCATCGATGTTTCTAACTCTCTATCTCTCTCCCTTCCTCTCTGTGAAAAATCAATAAAATATATATTTAAAAAAAAAAAAAATATTTCTTCTAATTAATTGCCTTTCAATGTGCACAAATTCGTGCACCGGGCCACAAGTTACTGTGATAAACACACTGTGCTCTATGGAGAAAGCTAAAGATACACACCAAGGTTTTCACTGTTATCAGGGAAGATTACAGACAACCTTGATTCACAGCAGCTTAACCTGTGACACCTGAAGTACTGAAACCCCTGCCCTACAATTTTACACCATTTCTTACCAAATGATAATAAATTATTTGTGACTGTCTAATGATTTAAAAGGTTACCAATGCAAATGTCAGATTAACTGGCAACAAGTGACTGAAACTCAACAACAGCAAGAACACTTAACAGGATACCAAAGTCAGCAGAAAGAGAGAGCAAAAATGGGGAGACAAAAAAACAAACAAACCCAAAGGAAAGAAAAGGAGAAATCGCCAGAAAAGTACTAAATGAATCAGAGGCATGCCAATATGTCAGAAAAAGAATTCAGGTAAGGGTCATATAATTCATGAACCAGATGGATGAGAAAATCAACAACCTATGCAAGAACCAGGAAGAAATAAAGAATGATATAGCTACAATAAAAACCTCCATGGAGCCAAAACCGGTTTGGCTCAGTGGATAGAGCATCGGCCTGCGGCCTGAAAGGTCCTGGGTTCGATTCCGGTCAAGGGCAGGTACCTGGGTTGCGGGCACTTCCCCAGTGGGGGATGTGCAGGAGGCAGCTGATCGATGTTTCTCTCTCATCGATGTTTCTAACTCTCTATCTCTCTCCCTTCCTCTCTGTAAAAAATCAATAAAATATATTTTAAAAAAAACAAAAAACCTCCATGGAAGCGTTCAACAGTAGACTAGGAGAAGCAGAGGGCAGAATTAGCAAATTAGAAGACAGGGATGCAAAATCCTCCCAATCTGAACTGAAATTGGAGAAAAAAATCAAAAGACAAGATACAAAATTAACACCCACAACCTATGGCTTTTTATACATCAATAATGAACTCTACATAAAGAGAAACTAAAAAAACAATCCCATTTACCATTGCGACAAAAAAATTAAGATACCTAGGAATAAATTTAACCAAGGAGGTAAAGGACCTGTACTCAGAAAATTACAGGGCACTGAAAAAAGATATATGGGAAGACATGAACAAATGGAAGAATATACCATGTTCATGGATTGGCAGAATCAACATCATTAAAATGGCCATACTACCCAAAGCAATCTATAGGTTCAATGCAATCCCCATTAAAATACCAACGCCATACTTCAAAGACTTAGAACAAATTCTCCAAAAATTTATATGGAATAAAAAAGACCCCGAATAGCCACAGCAATCTTGGGAAAGAAGGACAAAGTTGGAGGGATCACAATACCTGATATCAAGCTATAATATAAAGCCACTGTTCTCAAAACTGCCTGGTACTGGCACAAGAACAGACATATAGACCAATGGAACACAACAGAAAACCCAGAAATTGATCCTTTGGTTGATCTCTTACCCCCTCAACCACCTCCTTCCCATGCAGATGCTGAAGAAAAATTTCACACACCAAAAGGTCAGTCTGGAACCAGCTTTTGGCCCCGAGGCAGGGTGGAACAGGAACCCCAACCTGCTCTAAATTAGCTGTGGCTGTCCCTGTTCAACTCCACAGGATCCTATAAGCCCCTCTTTTTTTAAAAAAAAAAAAAAATTATTGTTGAAAGAATTATATATATATATCCCGTTTTCCCCCACTGGTCCCCTCTTGCCTGCCCCAGGCCCTCACAGGCCCATTGTCTGTGTCCATGGGCCATACATATATGCAAACAAGGTCCTTGGTTGAGTACCTCCCCTCTCCGCCCTTCCCACCTTCCCTCTGAGATGACACACTCTATTCCATGCCTATAAGCCCTTCTCGGAGAAAGTAAGAGAATTTCATTCCACCAAATAATGAAAAACAACAAAATAATCAAATACTGATAGAAAAGATTGAATCATTTAACAGCCACCTACTACTTAAATTTTTATTTTAACTTTCCTTCTTTTTCTGTCTTGAATCAGTTTAATCATCATTGGCTTATCTGCTCTTTGGGAATTTGGTAGAATTCAGTAAAATAATCTGGGCCTGTTACTTTTCTGGGAGATAGTACTTCAAAATTTTATTCTATTCAGTCTATGGAAAATGGTCTGCTTAAATTTTCTATCTCCAGAATTCAAAGGGAGTTAGATACTAGAAATTTATCACATTTATGTAAGTAGAAAAATCATCTGATCATTAGGGTTTTTGTCTGTTTCACTAATGTATTTCCAGTGTCTAGAGCACTGACTGGTACACAAATATTTGTTGTATGAATGAATGCTGAAACAATCTGACAAAATTCAATGTCCATTTTTTATTAAAAACTCAATATACTAGAAAAAATAGATGCTCCAATAACACGGGGGAAAAAACCCCACTTTAGCCCTAGTTTTCACTGTATACATATTTATGCCTTTGAGTTTCAACATACCATCTGAATCTATTAACTTTTTAAAGGTAATATAAAGTTAAAATGATTACTCAGAGTCTATTTTACATTGGGTAGTTGTGTCTCTTTGTACCTCAGGCAATATGTTAAATTACTGAAGAAGTAACGTGTCCTCATTTTATTGAAGAGGGGACTAAAAATGAGGGAAGCTGAGAAACTTGCCTTATGTCACACAGTTAGTAAATGATAGAGCTAATAGGCACTATCATTTACTAGCTGAGTTCTAGGCACTATTCTGCATTTAAATGTTATTTTCTTCAGTTTGGTTAGACCCTATCACTCTATTGATTTCTCCTGAATAGACTCAGATACCTCACACATTTAATTGTAGGCCAATGACTTCCAAATCCATTCTCTCTTCAACCACCTGTTCACCATAGCCATTTGATAGTCCTCGAGAAACCCGGTAACCTAAAATACAACCTTCTTTCTAAATTTGCTTTCTTGTCCTTGTTTCCTCTCAATGTACTTGGTCTGGCAAGAAGAAGTTCAGGCAGAGTCCCAGACTCCCCACTGTTCTAGTCTCTCCTGCCTCCACCTGGTAATGGAGTTTTATGGGGAGTCTCTAGTTTTTGACAGCTCTATTCCTCATACCTACTACTCCTTCTTTCCTTTAGTGAATCACTTTGTGTTTCTAATGCCAAAGGTTTTCCCTGGCATCCACAGAAGCAATGACAAATCAAGAAAGACCACCGGAACTTCATCTTTAGTAAAATCACATGTGTCCTCCACCTCATCTCTGAATATATATCCTTACCTTCCTGCTCTAATGAATCTTGGTTCTCCTGTGAACACTTCATCCCCTACAGCTCTCTCAACTGGGAGCTATTTTTCCCTCATAAACCTCTAGCCAAACTATATTGTCACCCTAAATTTTCTACTCCAGAACTCCTCCCTGGCTCCAAAGTCGTATATTATCCTATCTCAGTATCTCCACTTGGATGCTCAGAAGTCAATACAACCTTAAAATACCCAGAACCAAAGTCTGGACTTCCTCCCCAAAACTTATCCCCCCACTGTTCTCCATTTGAAGTTAATGCAACTCTACCCTCCTAGCTGCAAGCCCGACTAGTGCTGGCATAATCCTAACTCTTTTCTTTCTTCCACAGTTCTCTATGCAATTCCTCCAAAATCCTCTTGACTATCTTAAAAAATTCTATTCAGAATCTAAACCATGCCTTTTTACCCCCAACAATCATCTCTTGGATTTCTGCCATGCCTTCTAAACAATTCCTGTTTCCAACTTTGCCTCTCTAAAGCCTCCTCTATCCAGTAACCAGGCTGATCCTACTAAAACTTCAGATCATGGCACTGTCCTGCTCACACTCCATTAAGGCTCTCCACGGACGCCCAGCAAAGTCCAAATTGCAGTGTAGGCCACAATACCCTACGTGGTTTGGGAACCCTGTAAACTACTAAAATAATCTCCTGCTGCTCCTTTTATGGGCAAACATATCCTGTCTCAGGACCCACCATAGAATGCTCTCAGCCCAACAGCCATATGGTTTACTTCATCACATCTTCTCAAATGTATTCAACAAAGCCCTCCCTGGTCACCTTATGAAAAATTAAGCCCCCTGTAGTACTTACTCTATCACTCCTAATGTCATTCACCCTACCTAATTTTCCCCAAAAACGTTTTTCATCATCTAAAGAAGTATACGTATATATATATATTTATTGTGTCTCCAAACCCTAAAAATAGAAACTCTGAGGCAGGAATTTGTCTTATCCTCAGTAATTAGAGCACCAAATAGCTCATTTTAAAAAGGACTCAATAAGTATGGAGTCAGAAAAAGGCATTAAGGATGGAAACGAAAAACTGAGAGAAGGAGAAGGAAGAATGGCTTGATCATCAAACCCCCAAACATACCTAAGTGCTGAATCAGTAGCATGTGCTGCTGTTGTAGTAATGACTGGAGACTGAGCTCTGGTGGCTGAGACAGTTGCTACCACAGCAGGAGGGATGGTATTAGAAGTCGTCACAGGTGGACGAGACTACCAAGGTAGAGAAAAAAATATTTCACTTAAAACAAAAATCAAAATAAAATAGTAAGCCAAACACTAAAAGTACACTTTGAAACTTGGGCCTTCAAGTAAGCATGTTTATGTCCTATCCTTACTAAGGAATTCTCTTTTTGGATATGCTGTTATACAAGAGTCAGAATTATAAAAAAGAAATCCAATTTTGGTTGGATAAAACACAAGTCCCTTCTTTCTAAGCACAACTGGATTAAAAATTCTGTCCTACTATCAGTGTCAGTACAAATTGGACTGAACCTTTCAGATCCAGATTTCCCACAGGTCTGCTGTTGGCCCTGGTGCAGACATTTTACACTGCCATGCAACCAGTGCTGTCCACAGAGGGCCTCCTCAGCCACTGGACAGAGTGGCTGACCCTCAGGGCATCCACGTCAGCGTACTAAAGGCAAACATACAGTGGCGGCATTCTTGCTGGCCAAAATTCAGTGCCCAGATGCTCTCTGGAGGCGTTCACACGGACACACTCCCCTTACCGCTACATGTGTGTAAGACCTTCCACCTGACAACTGAGCTCCACACTGGCTTCCCCTGCTTGTCCACTGTCAATTCTTCCATTCATCTGAGCTCCTCTCAGTGTTACCTCTTTTTTGACCTCATTACATATACTTAAATCTGAAAACTCTGCCCATTCTTTTTTTTAAAAAGTCACAATATTTTTTATTGATTTCAGAGAGAGGAAGGGAGACGGAGAGAGAGAAACATCATGATGAGAATCATTGATCGGCTGCCTCCTGCATGCCACCTCCTGGGGTTTGAGCCTGCAACCCAGGCATGTGCCCGTGATCGGAATCGAACCGTGACCTTCTGGCTCATGGGTCAATGCTCAACCACTGAGCCGCACAGCCAGGCAAACTCTGCCCATTCTTGATCTCTGTCCTTCACCTTCCAACCTCTTACCTATGTGCCTACGGTGACAGCTTGTTTTACACAAGAGCTGCTTCACTGTCTTCCCCATTTGGGTCTCCTCCTCCTCCAATTCCCCCACAATGCCACATACCCTCCTGGGGGGGCTAATCATTTTCCAAACGTTTTGTCAGCCAGCAAGGTCTTTCATTTGTTTAATTAGAAAGCTCTAGGCTGGACATGTACTACCCAGGGTCCTAATCAGCACTTTTCCTTATTGTTTTAAACCTGTTTTGATACATATTACCAATCTGGTCCCCAAAAGCATTTCAATTTCTACCTCCTACATGTAATTCAGCTACGTTAATCTTTCACAGATACTTGTCTGACCATACATTACTCTATTCAAAAAACTTAAGTAGCAACTCTGCAGCGTACAAAATCAAGTTTTCACTCCATATCTTAAGAGTTCTGATTTGAGTCACCACAATATCACTTAATCATGCATTATACTTCAGTAGTACTGAGACTGCAAATTTCCTTGAAAAGAAGCTGAAAAGCATACACAGACTGTTTTCCTAAAAAAGTGCACATATGTGCATAAAACATTCAGGGGTTCAAATGAGAGCCGCTCAGTTCTAACTGCCTTTACTAATAAGCATTGTCTATCATCTTCCCTGTCTTCCCTGCCACTGTTCATTGTATTGTCCCCTCACTTCTCTGAATCCCCATGACCACACTCATCCTAACAGAAAGCCTTGCCCTGGCCAGTGTGGCTCAGCTGGTCGGAGTGTCATCTCGTGCACCAAAAGGTTTCAGGTTTGATCCTGGTCAGGCACATACGGGAGGCAACTGATGCATGTCGCTCTCACACTGATGTTTCTCTCTTTCTCCCTTCCTTTCTCTAAAATCAGTAAAAACATAAATCCTCGGGTGATGATTTAAAAAAAAAAAAGCGAATTTTCTTTACTACCTTTTCTAAATTCTTACAGAGGATCAGACACTGTATACAATTCAACCTTCCCTACATCTTCCCAAGTAGACTGAAAGTCACTTGAGGGCCAAGGACGCTCACTGTGCCGAACAGAAGAGTGACTCCGAGTAGGCATTCACACTTCCTGGCTGACTCCCCACACCCTACACGCACCTGAATTGGCTGGTGAATGATGTGCTGGACTGCTGATGGAGCTGCTGCTGCATTTGGCAACTGGGAAGTCGGCCTCAGGACTGTGGTTACTTTAGAACTAGACATCACAGCAGCAGCTGCTGCACCTGGAGAAAGTTTTTTTTTATTAGTAGACTCAAAATTTAAATAGTTCTCATTATATTCCTTGCGAATATAATCAGAATTTCTAAAACTCAATGTCAGTATTCAGTGGAAATTCTTCCTACTTCATCACATAGAAAAATAAGAAAATGTGCACTCAAGGGCTGAGATTTAACAAGTTTATTGATCTGTATTGCTTCTTGAAAGACATTCTTAAATGAAATTGGCTGCTTTTTTGTTATTTTTTAGCTGCAAGTATGTAGCAATGAAGCAGTGGGTAGCCTGGTTGGTGCCACCGCTGATGCAGGCCAACGCTCCAACAGTCTAAGCACCAGACCGACAGGGAGAGTTCACTGGGTCCACCACTGCCTTTGCACCATCAGTGCAAATGCCAACACTGTGACAAGGCGGACGATGTCTTAGTATATTCATGAAAACAGCTTCCATCTTACACAGATGCCTTGCCACCTGTGAGCCTCACCCTGTGGGTGAGTTACGTTAAGACAGAGTCAACCTGATTTTGTATTTGTTAATCTAATTTTGCAAACAATGATTTTATACTCTCCATTAGAAGGTAATAATTTTTGACCAAGTAGTTGAGGAAACTCATTAAATTTAGTAACTCATCACCGATTTGAACTTAACTGTACGAATAAATTCATCTTACTGCTAAGGGAGTAGAAAATTTTGGTTAACTGTTATCACTAAACTTTAAACACATAGGAATTAGTATTTGCAACTAATCAGTATTTGTATTTGCAATTTATTAAAAATAAGACCATATTTAGGCTATCATAGCCTTGAGGAGTTCATTAAAAAGGACATTTTTTAGACATTAAAAATCTAAAGTGCTTTAAGTTTACACACATGTACACATACTTGTATCTTTAACATGTACATACTGGATGATGCTAAAAACATATACTGCACTAATTTCTGCTGTCTTGGAATGCGATTAAACTGATTCCGGATATGTTTTGTGTCTCCTACCAAACGTATATTGTATTTCGAGAATTTGAACAAAATGTGCAGACTTTACCTCGAGGTAAATGAGAAGCTCCAATGTGTAGAGGGGGCCCAGGAGCACTGCTGCGGATAATGGACATCTGCACATTGGTGGTCATGATGTGATGCAGGTTACTGGGATGGCCCTGCAACGGACAGGCTGCAATGTCATCTACCTGCTTAGACGTAGCACCTGTTGCTTAGACGTTGCTTCTGGGAAGTCAGCTGTCTCCAAATGTGGACCAGGTTGCTCCTTTCAGATAGGGTATCGCCCAGGGAAAGGACAGTGAGCTCTTCCCCATAGCACACTGCACGGTGGCCTGTGCTGGCAGGCATGGTGAGTGACTGCAAGAACACACCCACCAGCTAGACCCTGGGACAGATGGCACAACTGACTGGCCACTTTTGGACACTCTTCAGTATTAGTCCTTCAGGCTTGTTTTCTGTCTTGGCCAAAAGCTTATTTTTCCTGTTCTCACCATATCCTTCCCATGCCACTGCAGTCATCCATTCTTTATGCTTTGTTTCTAAGTAAATGTCAATTAGCATCAAGCAAGCACTTCCCTACCAGTTCTCCAGCTCACCCTCAAACACCCCTTCCTCAAATCCTCCCACCCAATGCCAGTGCTTCTCAAGAGTGTGTGTGTGTGTGTGGCGGGGGGAGGGCTGAGCGGGGGGTGGAAGGGGTAACTTCTGGGTTCTGGGAGTACTCAGCAATGGGACAAAAGTAAAACACAATGCATCTTTTTGGAATACCAATTTTGTTTCTTGAAAACTTAAAGGGATAGTTTTGAGATTTAGTTTTTATCCATTGGTAATTTAAAATATTTAAGTAAATCAAATACTACATATATTATGATAAGGATTACCTTTTCAAAAAAAAAATTTATCCGAAACTGGTTTGGCTCAGTGGATAGAGCGTCGTTAAAACACAAGACTTCAAGACCTGGCCAGTTTGGCTCAGTGGATAGAGAGTTCACCTGCAGACCAAAGGGTCCCAGGTTCGATTCCAGTCAAGGGCATGTACCTGGGTTGCAGGCTCCTCCCTGGCCCTGGCCCAGGCCCTGGTCAGGGCACATGCAGGAGGCAACAAATCGATGTGTTTCTCTCATCAATATTTCTGTCTTTCCCTCTCTCTTCCATGCTCTCTAAAATCAATGGAAAACCTTGGGTGAGGATTAAAAAAAAACAAAAACACACACATACCAAAAACCCCCACAGGACTTAACCCCTTGAGTCCCGGGGAGCGTGATCCGCACTCCCCCTGTCTTTCGCCAAAAGTGCCGGGAGCGCTGTCAAAGCTTCGAAATGGCGTCCAGTTCTAAGTCTGCTTTTACTAGTGATGATGATATTGCTAAATATGTCAATGTAGTAAAGGTTTCCTTACGTTTTTGAACATGTAACTTCATTTGCTTGCGATTCATAATTTTTTTCCTAAACTGCTGTAAAATCAGAAAAAATGCCTTGGCAATTTTAGCAGAGTTCCTAGGATATTGGCTGGCACTCACAGGGTTAAAAATAAATAACTGTTCGTGATTGGTGGGCTCCTTGGGAGAACCCGCCAGTCACTCAAGAGATACACATTTGCTGTCCTCAGAGCAAAACCCAGAAAAGCACGACTGCTGTGGGAGTTGTCAACCCACCCAGACTCTGAGCTACAGCCAAGCACAAGGGGCTCGGAGCGCAAGGACACGGGCTGTCTTATCCAGATTTGTGCCCCAGGGAAGGTGGTGCTTCACACATGGCAGATCTCAGTATCTACTGGCTAAATGACAAAGACCCCTGTGTGTATTGGTTTTATTCACTGTAGCTACTTCTCTCTCAAATCTACCGTCTTCCTCTTGCAGATATAAATGACTTTATTTTTTACTTAGTACAGTGCCTAATATACTGCTGGCATTCAATAAATAATGATAAACAGTTGGGCATCTCAGTTTGAAAATCAGTAGATTAAGAAGGAAAAAACCTGTTGTCCACTGATTGTTGCCACGGGAATGGCTGAGGCCTGCGGGAGGCTGCTCTCCATGGTAACTGTGACCTGGCCTGGGGCCTTGGGAGGCAGTGACAAGGTAGAAGGTGGAGCAGGAGCAATGGGGCGGCTCGGCATCGTGGGCTTCGGAGGCGGCTGCCAACAGAAAAGCACACGAAACATGATCAGTGACATTTGACTAGCAATGTGTTTCCTTCTCAAGTTCAAAGTACACAAGTCCACCCTGGAGAGTGCCAGGAAAGATGCCAGAAGCCTTATATGTTTTCTCTCGCATCATCATAGCGTTTCCATTGGAGTATTAGCATTTCCACTGTACAGATGAGGAAACATGCAAAACAAGTCTAAGTCATTTGCTCAAAGCCACACACAGAGCAACAACTGGAACGGGAATAAAGCCCAGATCTGTATGGCTCACAGCCTACATTCTTCTATACAACGTTGCCTCCCCCAAGGTTGAGCAGAAATAAACAAAACTCACAGTAACTGAAACATAACTACAAGGCAATATACAAGGCAATATTCTCCTGTATCTCCAAATTAGCAAGCTATTAAAATAAAGCCTTAGGCCCTAGCTGATTTGGTTCAGCAAACAGAGCATCGGCCTGCGAACTGAGAGGTCCCAGGGTTGATTCCAGTCAAGGGCACATGCCCAAGTTGTGGGCTCGATCCCCAGTGTGGGGCGTGCAGAAGGCAGCTGATCAATAATTCTCTCTCATCACTGATGTTTCTCTCTCTGTCTCCCTCTCTCTCTTCCTCTCTGAAATCAATAAAAATATATTTTAAAAAACAAACAAAAAACCCCTCACACACAAAAAATGAAACCTTGGCCCTGGCCAGGTGGCTCAGTTGGCTTGGAGTACCCTCCCGTCCACTGAAAGGGTGTGGGTCCAATTCTCCATCAGAACGCACAATTAGGTTGTGGGCTTAATCTCCAGTCAGGACATGTATGGAAGGCAACCAATTGATGTTCCCTCTCACATGGATGTTTCTCTCTCTCTTTCTCTAAAAAAGATCAGTAACCATATCCTTGGGTGAGGAATAAAACCAAACCAAACCTTGGAGAAGAGTGCCACTCCAAGATAAAAACTGAGTTAGCATGTCAGTAACTTGAATAAAATCAATGTCAAATGAGTACTGGAAAAGTTCCTGTGATGCCAACTGCTCAGCCGCACAAGACTAGACACTGCAGAACAGCAGAACTCGGAGTTCCAGAGAAGAGCTGAACTGATAGGTCAAAACAAACTAGGATACTAGGATACAGCCTAAAACTTTGTAAAAACTGTCAGCAATATTACAGCCAGTCTTTAGCTGTGGTTCAATGTGAAATTTTAAACCTCTCCATTACCTTCATGAGTCCCTCCGAAAATGAGAGTGGCACTGCAGGCGTCAAATGTGCTGGTGGGGCTGTCACAGTGACAGGGGTGCCCGATGCGACAGCATGGTGTGTCGACAGCATCTGCACCTGTGGGTAGGGCCTCACCACAACGGGCTCTTGCTTCTCTTCACGGGCCTGGAGGGAGCTGCTGGAACCCACGTGCTCCCTGGCAGTGACTTCAGCATCTCGAGTAGATTCATCGTTGACTAGTAAAGACATAAGGTAACACAGCATGTCACACCTTTCCAATATTAGTTAACTTAACAGCACATACAAGAGTGGAACTTGCAGTTAATTTCAGTTGATAAACTGACAATTTCCTTGCAAGGTTTTCTTAAGAGAATTTGGGCATTAAGTTCCCCTGATGGAGAGCAAACCAAAAGTCACACCTGTGAGACACAGGACTTATTTTGGTTCCTGTGGCTTTCCCTTTCCTATGAACAAAGGACTTGACAAGTGCTAAAATGAGCTCAACTTATTGAAAGTGCAATACATGATATAATTTCATTTGAAATATTTATTTAAAGTATTATAAAAACTAACGTTAAAAAGATAATCTAAGCCCTGGCTAGTGTGGCTCAATTGGTTGGCGCATCGTCCTAGACAATGAAGGGTCAAGGGTTCAATCCCGGTCAGGCACAAACCTAGGTTGTGGGTTTGATCCCTGGTTTGGGGCAAATTATTATTACTTTGTTTTGTTTTTTAATGAAGGCTTTTTTTTTTTCACTCAGATTCTTTTTCTTTTAATCCTCACCAAAGGATATGTTTTCACTGATCTTAAGAGATGGATAGAAAGAGAGAAACATAGATGTGAGAGAGACACATTGACCGGTTGCCTCCTGCATAAACCCCAACTGGGGCCAGGGATGGAGCTTGCAACCGAGATACATGCCCTTGACCGGAATCGAACCCAAGACCCTTCAGTCTGCAGGCCGATGCTTTATCCACTGAGCCAAATTGGCCAGGGCTATTTAACTTTTTAACTGAAATAAAACCCTCATAAAGACTTGTGCACAAATGTTAATTGTACAGCTCAATGAACTTTCACAAACTGAATACACCTGAGTAACCAGCACCCCAAATCAACACAACAGCCCAGCCAGAGTGGCTCAGTGGTTGAGCGTCAACCTATGAACCAGGAGGTCACGGTTCGGTTCCCAGTTAGGACACATGCCTGGGTTGTGGGATCTGTCCAGTGTGGGGCATATAGGATGCAGCTGATCAATGATTCTCTCTCATCATTCCCTCTCTCTCTCCCTCTCCCTTCCTCTCTGCAATCAATAAAAAATATTTTCTTTTAAATAAAAACACAAATACTAGAGGCCCTGGTGCACGAATTTTAATAAATATAATAAATATGTACGTACTAGAGGTCCCCCCTCAGCCCTGCCTGCGCCCTCTTGCAGTCCAGGACCGGTCACTCCTTACTGCCTACCTGCAGCAAAGATGGAGGTGGGAGCGTCTCCCACCACCGTGGCTGCACTCGCCAGCCTAAAGCTGGGCTGGGCTCACTGCTCCCTAGCAATGCCTTGGAGGCTTCTGGCTGAGCGGTGCTCCCGCTGTGGGAGCACACTGACCACCAGGGGCAGCTCCTGTATTGAGCATCTGCCCCCTGGTGGTCAGTGAGCATCATAGCAACCAGTCAGTCCACTTTTCGGTTGACTTGCAAATTAGGGTTTTATTATATACGATTTTTAAAAAGCAAAGCATTCCTGGTTTCCCAGAACCCCTATATCCAGCCCAATTCCAGTTCTTATTCCTCCAAGCATATTCATCAACTTCTAACACAACAGATTAATATTGTCTGGTTTGGGACTTTATACAGAATCAGAACTTATGTTATCCCACTGTGGTGTCTTGCTCCTTTCACTCACAGGTATGAGATTCACCCATGTTATTACACGTAGTTATAGATCTTTCAAACTCAGTATAGTGTGCCATTGCATGAATAAACAAAAATTATCCATTTTACTGTTAATAGGCATTTAGCTAGATTTGTTTCCGCTATTGTGAGTAATAGTGCTAGTTATATTCCTGCATGTCTTTTGGTGAACATGTGATCCATTTCTATTGGATATATACCTAGGAATGAAACTGAGTGATAGAAAAAAATATTCTGCATCATCTTATTTTATTATTGTTGTTATTTTATCCTCACCTGAGGATATGTTTATTGGTTTTAGAAGAGGAAAAGGGAGAAACATTGACGTGAAAGAGAAACATCAATTGGTTGCCTCATATACACACACCAGGGGATCAAACCTGAAACCTAGGTATGTGCCCTGACCAGGAATCAAACCTTCAACCTTTTGGTGTACTGGACAATGCTCCAACCAACAGAGCCAGCCAGCCAGGGCTCTGCATCATTTTTAAAATGCTAAATGGAATTCCATTCTATACATTTTCTATAGCTTTTTTAACCATTATATCAATGATGGGTTTTTGTGTTATTTCCAAATTTTTGCTGTTAACAAATCTCTGGGATGAACATACATATGTACTTTTAAAAATATTTTTTTATTGATTTCAGAGAGGAATGGAGAGGGAAAGGGAGATACAAACATCAATGATAAGAGAGAATCATTGATTGGCTGCCTCTTTGCACACCCACACTGGGGATCTAGCCCGCAACCAGGTTTGTGTACTGACCGGGAATAGACCTCTTGGTTCGTGGGTGGATGCTCAACCGCTGAGCGACACTGGCTGAGCTACATATGTACTTTGAGTCCTTATTCAATCATTTTAGGAAAAATTTTCCAAAATTTTTTTTTAAAAAATTGTTTAAAATTAGGTACATTTTTACAAGAGTACACATTACTGGAACACAACATAATCATGATATAGAACATTTCCCACCACTCTAACAAGTTCAACCATGGCCCTTTGCAGGGAATTCTCTTCCTCCCATTTATTCCTTAACCCCTAGAGTGCCAGGGAGTGTGATCGCGCTCCTCCTGTTTTTCGCCAAGAGCACTATCGCGCTCCTCCCGCAGTGTTCAGTTCTAAGTCTGCTTTTATTAGTGATGATGACATTGCTAAATGTCAATTCTTGCTGTGAAGATGACGATTTTGTGGAAGATATTGAATATGTAACTTCATTTACTTGCAATTCATAATTTTTTTCCTAAACTGCTGTAAAATTAGCAAAAATGCCTTGGCAATTTTAGCATAGTTCCTAGGATATTGGTTGGCACTCAAAGGGTTAAAAGCCACTGATGTGTTTATCACTACAGCTTTGTCTTTTCTGGAATTTCATATAAACAGAAATCATACAACACATGGTCCCTTGTGTCTTGATTTTCTATTATGTTTTTGAGGCTCATTCATGTTGTATATACCAGTAAGTTTATTTATTTTTATTGCTTAGTATTCCATTAAATGGGTAAAGCAAACTTTGCTTATCTAGTTACCAGGTGAGAAAATTTGGGTTGTTTCCAGTTTTTGGCTATCCCATATAATAAAAGCCTAATATGCCAAGTGTCTGACTGGTCAACCAGTTGCTGTGACATGCACTGACCACCAGGGGGCAGGCACTCCAACCGGTAGATTAGCTCGCCGCTGCTGGGGTCTGGCAGACTGGGACTGGGAAAGACAGGTTGGACACACCCTGGAGCCCTCCCAGTCTCTTCCCAGTCAGCCAACCTCCTGCAGTCCCTCCCCAGCCGGCTGGCCCTGATTGGGACTGGGCGAGACAGGCTGGACACGAGCCGGACATGCCCTGGACAAACCCATGCATGGGGCTGGTGTCAGCCCGATCCCTGCAGGCCAGGCCAAGGGACCCCACCAGTGCATGAATCCCTACACTAGGCCTCTAGTTATGAATAACGCTTTGATAAATATTGAAGGGTAAGTCTTTGTATGTATGATATGTTTTCACTTGTCTTCGGTAAATACCTATGAATGGGACTGCTGGGTTGTATAGTAAATGTGTGTTTATGTAATTTTATAAGATACAAACTGTTTCCTAAAGTGGCTAGATTATTTTGCATTTCTGCCAACAATGTATGAGTTCTACTTGCTCCGTAGACACATCAAAGCTTGGTATTGGTGGTCTTTTCATTTTAGTGACTTCAGTGGATGGTTGTGTTTCCCACTGAGGTTTTAATTTGCACTGCCCTGAGGGTTAATTCTGTTGAGTATCTTTTATGTGCTTATTTGACATTAAAAAAGAGTCTTTGGTAAAGTTTCTATTCAAATATTTGCCCATTAAAAAAAAATCAGTGGAGCCCTGGGCAGAGCCCAGCAGGATTCAGTGATTGTGGGAAAAGTGCAATAAAATGTGAAATGTGGGCCCTGTAAAAAAAAAACAAAAAAAACCCCACAAACAATTAGGATGTTTGTCTTTTTACTACTGAGTTACAAGAGTTCTTTATGAATTTAGAATATAAGTCCTTTGTAGATACATTTATTGCAAATTTTCTCTCAATCTGTGGCTTACCCTTTTATTTTATTAATAGTGTCTTGACAAGCAGTCATTTGTAATGTATTAGTTCCTTCTTTATACAGTGTTTTTTTTGTGTGATTTTTGCTTACTCTAAGGTTGCAAAGTTTCTCTAATGTTTTGTTTTAGAAAATTTAAGTTTTATATTAGATTCATGATGACACATTTGGTGTTATCTTTTGTGTATGGTGAAGGTAAAGGTCAAGGTTCATTTTTTTCCATGTGTATTTTGGTGTTCTGGCATTATTTTGTTGAAAAAAACTATCACTTCCCTCTTGAATTACCTATGTACTTTTGTTAAAAATCAAGTGACCATTACGTGTGGATTTATTTCTACTTTGTTCCAATTATACATATTTCTATCTTTATGCCAAAACTACACTGTCTTGATTAGTGTAGCTATAACAAGTCTTAGTAAGGTAGCAGAATCCTCCAAATTTCTCTTTTTAGTCAAAACTGCTTTGCCTATTTTATTTTGGTTCCATAGGTTTCCACACAAATTTTACACTTAGGCTGTCAATTTTTACACTGAGCCTGATGAAATTTTGATTAGAATTTCTTTGAATCTATAGATCCCTCTGGTAGAAGTGACCCCTTAGAAATACTGAGTTTTCTACCCTAGCCAGCTGAAGGGTCCTGGGTTCAATTCCAGTCAAGGGCACTTAACGGTTGCAGCTTGATTCCTGGCCCTGGTCAGGGCACATGTGAGGCAACCAATCGGAAGTGTCTCTCTCACATAGATGTTTCTGTCTCTCCCACTCCTTTCCACTCTCTCTAAAAATCAATGAAAAAAATATCCTCGGGTGAGGATTAACAAAAAAAATAAAATCCTGAGTTTTCCACCCTTGCTGGTGTGGCTCAGTTGGTTGTCCCATGCACTGAAAGGTTGCTAGCTTGATCTTGGGGGCGGGAGGGATGGACATTGTAGGAGACAGCCTCCAATCGATGTTTCTCTCCCTGCCCCACCCCCAAAAAAATACTATTAAAAAAAATACTGAGTTTTCCAATCCACGAACATGACAGATCTTTACATTTATCTAGATCTTTAATTTCTCTCAGCAATGTTTTACGTATCTTTCTAATCTTAGGTCTTACACATATTTTGTTAGCATGTCCCTAATTTTCTGTGGCCTTTTTTTTTTAATACCACTGTAACTGACATTTAAAAAATTTCATTGTTCATTGCTAGTAAATAGAATTGCTTTTGTATATTAAACATTTATCCTGAAACCATTAATAATTTCATTTATTAGTTCTAACAGCTTGTTACAAACATTCTTTAGGATTTTTTGCATACACGATCATGTTGTTTGTGAATAAAAGCAGTTTTACTTCTGTCTCTCATTATCAATTTTTAACCTTCCCTACTGTCTAGACAGATTTTTTCCCCTAATTAAAATTTTAAGGGAAATGGACAATTTCATAACTTTCTCCCAAATCTATTTGTTCAGGAAGACTTTGATTGTTGACAATTTCATTAAGATATAATGTACTACCCGGCCAGCGTGGCCCGATGGTTGAGCATCAATCTATGAACCAGGAGGTCACGGTTTTGATTTCAGGTTGGGGGGCATATTCCCAGATTATGGGTTCGATCCCTAGCCTAGTGTGGAGCATACAGGAGGCAGCCGATCAATGAGTCTCTCTCATCGTTGATGTTTCCATCTCTCCCTCCCTCTCTGAAATCAATAAAAATATATATTTTTAAAAAATATAATGTACTGACCATCTACCATTAAGCTCTTTTTGGAACCATTTATCATTTCCTTCCAGACATCTGGAGTTCTCGATTTCAGTTTATTTTTTACCAGAAAAGAATCTTGAAGCAATAGAGAATTGTTGTAATCTATACGTCTCAACTTTGAAATTATAGACAACTTTGGTCTGAGTCAATGATTTCCTTCTCAACAAAATCTGAGTGCAATTATTGCTGACAGCTTTTAAAATGAGCAATATTATTCCATGTAAAGAAGAGATGTTCAAAAATATTCTTAGCTATGCTCTTTAAATTATTCTGCTTGAACTTATACCAAAGACAAAATAGTGTAAAAATACTGAAGGAGTAAAGCACCTTTCAGTTGCTCTACAATAACTTGCTTACTACTTTGTGCCCTACACTGGTTAGCAAAAATGCAGGAGACAGACCTGGTCCTAAGGCAATTGTTGTGGATCATGGGAGTCAGCAAAGGCTTCCTAGAGAAAGTGACATCTGACTCAAAACATTCAGAACAGGAATTAGCCAGACAAATAAGTGTGGAAAGGAAGAAGCAAGATTGTGGCAAAAGGAACAGAATGTTCAAATTCTCAAGGTCAAGAAAGCCTAGAATTTGCTATCATGAGTTTAGAAAATGTGATAGATACTATTATGCAGGAGGCCTAGAGTTGCTCTGAGTTACTTCAAGAATAAACAGAACTAAAATAAATTTGTAACAAAAACTAAGTTGGCAGAGGGAAGCCAGGCAATAGAAAAGGAGGTTGAAACATTAGACAAAAGGCCAGAACTCATAGGCAAGAGACAAACACAGAGCAATTAAAGATGATGCCTGAGTCCCTGGTTTGAGCAATGAGTAGACAGTGGTACCATTTACCATGATAAAGAACATAGCAATCAGGTAGCAAAGAAAAATAAACAGAAAAAGTGCTCATTTCCCTTTGCAGCACCATCTTTTTACTTGATATCGAAAGAGAACTAGACTATTTGGAGTTCTTCATCGTCAGCACTGTTAATTCAACTGAATTCTTTGCTGTGGGGGACTGTCCTGCATATTGTAGAATGTTTAGCAGCATCACTGACCTCTAAAACAAGGCCTATGCCCGACCCACCTTTGGGCTCTTATCACCATATCTCTGGGCCTTAGGTAAATGAGAAGGCATCAATACATCTATAAAAATAGTTCTTGCAGGCATGCTTTACTATAACTTTCATGTATACACTAGTGCATGAATGATGTGATTAAAACAAGAAAAAAAAGACTTGCTTAAATTTAATTTAGAATTGTAACATATCCTTTCTTTAAATTTGATAACCTAGTCTTTACTAAAATCCCAGAAGAAATTTGCTAATTTTAATGAGAAAACTGGCAATATTCTTAAAACAGAAGCAATATAGAATATCACAGGTCTCACCTGTAGCTGCTGGGTTTATCAGTCCTGCAGAACCACTGCTAGCGATCTGGGAAGGAGCCTGGCTTAGCCCAGTGGAAGGAGTTCCTAACCGAGGAAACTGTTGAGAACTCATTTCCACCTGCAGTGCATACAGTCATATGGTTATTACTGGATACTGAGATTAGAATCTATAATGAAAAATTAAAGTATCTTTAGTATCTATATCTCCCCTCAGAAACAATTACTGCAGCATTATTCATCTATAACAACTACTTGTGATCAATATACAGTGCGGAAATGAACTAAGTTCTGTAATTTTGGATGTACGTAAGTTTAATATGGTGTTGGGGGATACTGGTCCTCCACAAATATTTTTTAGGGTTGCCACACTAAAACATCAACACTGAATCCTGCACAACAGCCACAACACGTTAACACAGCAGGTGTGCATCTGTAACCCTCACAAGCAAGGGGAGCAGCCGGAGTCGGAGGGGAGATGCCCTGTCCTAAGAACCAGAAGCCTCGCAGGAGGACCTGATCCGAGAGGAATTCCCGAGCTTTCTTCTGCACCGGCTCCCCGGCCGGATTTCCTCTGCTCGCTTTCACAGACCCCCTCAGAGCCAGAGGGACCGGAGGCCTTCACGCCTTCTCTAAAATGCACCCCTTTTCCTCCAAGCCCAGCTCTACGGACATCCCTATTCGCCCTCAGCCCACTCCCAGCCCCAAGCC